ACCCCAGTCACTGAATCAATCCACCTCATAGAGGGCCTTCCCCTCCTGCGCTATCCCTCCACCCTCCCAAGCATGATGTCCCTCTCCAAGGACTGGTCCTTCCTTACAACATGTCCAAAGTATGTTAGACGCAGCCTCAGAATCCTTGCCTCCAAGAAACGGCCCAGTTTAACCCTTTCCAGGATGAATCTGTTTGTAGGCAATCCTATTTTCACAAATGTTTTTATAAAGTTATTTCTTAAATTATCATGATAACTTTAAATTATCACAATGTTTGAAATTGTGAGAGGGTGGGAAGGAGAACTAAGAACCTAATTTTGTAACTGAGAACCCACTTTTGCTTTTTCTACATACAATTTATTGCTAGCAAAGGCAGGGAATCACTTGTTGAGTGTTAAAACAAGCTGCCTTATTCAATTATTAGTGATGACTTCATATGTGCCAGAATAAAACTGCTCCCACAGAGTTATGAATGACTGCTTTTTCTGAAACAGACTGGCAGACCTTTCTTCTAAGGCACCTCTGGTTAAAATGGAATCTCCAACCTTCCAGTTAACAGCTGAGCCTGATAGTCATTTGTATTACCCGGGGATTCCTGCTGAATGTTAGAGGTACTCTTTGGTGGTCATCCTACAGACGAAGGATGCGAAAGACCTCTTCTTTGTTCCCCTCATCATGCAAAAAAAATCCGTTTTGGCTCACCTGTGAGTCCAGACAAGACTGTAGAAGCAGGATCCTCAGCAGAGTCTCTCTAGTTCTGATAGTTCTGACAGGAAAACTCATTCTGCAAGGCATGGATACTTCAACCAGCAACTACAACCCAGGAAAATCCATGTTCTAGTCCATCTGTTATCATATTTTTCCTCAAGACATTTGAAAAAATACTGGAAAATTTACTGAAAAATTATTATAAAAAAAGCTCAGGCAGCAAGAGGATAGCTGATTCTGACCTCTATTAACTTCACAAAGGGGAAAAATTTTCATCAGCAGCATCTGCAATACAAAACCAGTTTCCATAAGGTCAGACATGGTCTCCATGCTCCCACATCTGTATCTATTAACTCCAACGTCAACCATACTGCTCTACTATGGGTAGAAAACTCATTGCCATGGCCACATGGTTATGGAGTTAATTAGGAAAGTTACGAGGGTACAATTCAGGTTAATAACAAGATACAATTCCTCAGTCAGGGCAGTTTTTCAGAACTTCTTGCAGGTCCTTTTACCTTCAGCCTCACAGCTTAGGTCAGTGTTACCAATGTTCTCTGAGTCCTGCCAATTATGGCACTTCCCCTCTGTTCTCTAGGCTTGGGTGAAGGCCTCTGGCTCTGACTCCAAATCCATGGAGAACAGTCTCAAGTCAGCTCTGTCTCATGATGGTTTCTGGTTCTCTGCTGCAACTACTGGAGCTCTCATGTTAATCTTGGTCTAAGTGGCACAGGAATCTCTGGTCCTGACGGATGTGCATTCTGTTCCCTACTGCTTCTTCTTTGCTGGCAGAGAGATTCTCCTCTTTTGCTGATAAACTGGCTCAATTTACACTTGGTGGGATGGAAAATACTGACCAACCCCATAATCATTGTATTATATACACTCTATTTCAGGTTCCCGCTCAGTCATGTGGTGAAAGTCAAAGCTGATGGCTGGGAAAGCCATTTTGAACAATAAACCCTTGATATCACATGGAAGTGTTATCTAAGATCAGTGAACAACCTAAAAACCACCCGTTTTCAACATCATTTAAAAATTGGCTTTTAACATAAATTTTTAAAATTTTATTCTTTTTGGTCTGTGTACCGTCAAATCTGATCCAACTGGTATAGGAGGAGACTGCCTCCCTTTCTCCAGCAGAACATCCAGTGGATTCGAACCACGTGTCTCTGGAATTGCAGTGCAGCTTCTTGCCACTAGGCCACCAGAGCTTCCTCGTAATATCAATTTTTAAACATCAGATCAACAATTACTCAAAAGCCAATATAAGAAAATAAGAGGTTAAGGGAACTACAGTGCTGGAACATGAACAAACCAGTACAACTAAAAAGAATTGACACATTGTGATAAAAGTAACTAGCATCGCTGAACATTTGTGTGGAAACTGTCAAATGGGAACCTAACTTGTGTAAACTTTCACTAAAAAGCCAATTCTTTTTTTTATAAAAAGAGGTCTACTTAAAAAAAAAATCTATAAATAACCTAAGAATGCACATACACACTTTTCTTTAGTCATAAAAAAAAAAAAACAACACGATGTCATCACACATCTGGTGAATTTATAATTCCTTTGAAGTAAAGTTTAAAAAACACAAGAAGCAAACAGGGATTCCGTATTTTTAACTGCAGTTACTGAAGGACAAGAAAGACAAAATGTAGCAAAGACAATATAGGAAGATTTACTGACTAAAAATCTTCCAAATTTGATTAAAAACATCAGTCAGGAGAGGAAAGAAATTTAATGAATAAAAAATCCCCCAAATATTTAAAAAAATCTATGCCAAGACACAGCACAGAAAAATTGAAGAACATTAAAAACTAATTATATTGGAGGGGGAATCACGAGGTCAGAGAGTTTGGTGGGTGGAGGGAGGGGGTGAAGGAATTGGGAAAGATCTAGTGGGGACCTGAAAGACAAGGTGACAGTAGGCATGGATCAATATTGTTTAATTTTATCAAACACATTGTGAATGAAAGAATGTGTGAAACACAATGGATATGATTGAAACACAATGTATATGAATTTTGTATGTAAACCAATGTAATTTTTTTTAAAAACAAAATCTCTAATGAAATAAAAAGTATTTTGAGGCGAAAATCATGTCTTCATTTAAAAGAGGCAACAAAGATAGTCAAAAGGTTCATCAAAAACTTCCAACCTCAGCAGTGAAAACAAATCCCTCTGGGATTGTAAGAGAAAATAAAGCTATATTAAGCAAAATTGAGAAAGTTTGATAAAACCGACTTCCACTAAAGAAAATTATAAAGAATGTACCTCAGGCATGAGGAAAATGTTTACATAAGGCAAGTAAGAGATTTAAGAAAGATTGGGCCCTGGTGGGGGCAATGTATCCAAGAAAAACTCTTGTTAACTCAAAAAAATTTCAAGTGTTAAGGGGGAAACTTGAAAACTTCAAACTACTTACTTTAGTGCTAAAACCCACAAAATATGAGTACACAATTCTTTAGTCATCAGAGCGATGATGTCATCACGCAAAGGGTCACCTCTGGAAAATTCCAAAGACATCTAAAAAGGCAAATGACGTTGCTATTATGAAAACAGTTCTGGCTTGGACTTCGTAAGGCCGTCTGTGGCCTGGTCTCCAGAAGATGATTCGCCCACTGACCAAGGAGAAAAGAGGTATGTCAAAGGTCTAAGGCTAAAGGGAAAATTCTTTCATCATTTTTAACACAAAAAAAGCCTCTGGCGGGGGTGGGGGTGGGGGGAGAATATTCCAAAAGATGCCACTAGAGGACTCTACTTTATGATGCCATCGCGCCATGGGCCTCTCGCAATCCCCACCCCCGCTTGCTCCTGCAGAGATCACGAGGGCACCCGGAACTGAGAGCCCAAGTGCCCAGGAAAAGGGGTGGGGCAAAAGAAGGGCCTCCACCCCATTGGATGACAGGCCTGCGCCTCACTACCCGGGCGGGGCCTTTTCACACTGAAAAAGGGATGCTGGAGCGATTCTCGACACTTTCCACTAGCTTCGACTAGGTGAAAGTTTTTTTCGCTGCTCCCCGAATTTCGCCAGGTCATGGTGCCAGCCTGACTGAGAAGAGGACGCTCCCGGGAGACGAATGAGGAACCACCTCCTCCTGCTGTTCAAGTACAGGGGCTTGGTCCGCAAAGGGAAGAAAAGCAAAAGGCGAAAATGGCTAAATTCGTGATCCGCCCAGCCACCGCCGCTGACTGCAGTGATATCCTTCGGCTGATTAAGGTAACCGGACTCCAGGAACCCTAGGGACGAGGTGGGGCGCCTACCCCCCCCCCCGCCTACCCGGAGAGCCCAGAGAGCCCAAGGGTTCCCCAGTACCTGTCCCACCTCCTCTGGCCTCTCCTCTTCAGCCTCATACCCTCCCTCTTGAGTTGGCAAGTTCCTCACTTTGTAGATTTTTTTAAAATTCCTTTTTCTTCTGCGTGACTCAACCCAGGAGCTGGCAAAATATGAATACATGGAAGAGCAAGTAATATTAACTGAGAAAGGTAATGCAACAGTGGGGCGGGGTAGGGACAAGCGTCCTGTGCCTCTTCCCCTCCCTGGAGACCAACATTGATCCTTTTTGGTCCAGATCTGCTAGAAGATGGTTTTGGAGAGCATCCTTTCTACCACTGCCTAGTTGCAGAGGTCCCCAAGGAGAACTGGACCCCGGAAGGTAATCCCCCTCCCCTTCTAGAAGCCAATCAGAGAGTCTGTTGTGGAAAAAACGTAGCGCCTGCTCTCTGTAGAGGACCAATGACAACACAAATCTAAGACTTGGTGAGAGGTTGGCCAGAAATAGCCAACCAGTGTGTAACTTACAGAGGAAAATAAGAAATGTACTACACTTAATAATGCTGCGTGCCATCTAGTTCATTCCTACCCATAGTGACCCCGTGCGCTACAGTAGAACTAACCCTTGCCGTTTTCGTGGCTGTAACTCAAGCAGAAAGAGCTGTTGATGAGAGTGCTGTGAAAACCCGGAAAAGTTGGGTATAATGTCTGTTGTAGTTCAGTTTCATAAAATGGTTTTTGTTTGACCCTATAACGTATTTTTTTTGTATTTGTTTAAATCACTTTTTTTTTCTTTAATTTGTCCCAATCTTCAGGTTACAGTCTCTAGCTTCGCCATGTACATGGCCCTTCCGTGTACATGGATGGGCGGGGAGGTAACTAAAAGATCCTTTACACAATAAAGTAGATGATCATAAATGAGGTAAGGCCCTATTATCACACACTTGCCACATGGTAGATCAGATACTTCATTTTACTCGCTTCCTGTCTGTTTGCAAAGGAATATTAAAAAAATGGCGAGAAAGCTTCACTTTAAAAAAGCCTTTGCCTGCTTTTGGAGTTACAGAAACCTGTTACAAGGGAGTCAGCTACGTGTTTTCTTTTTGGTTTTGTTTTCTTGCTAGTCCTTGTTGACTCAGCAGAAGACAGAACTAAAAGGGGAAGTGGGGAGGGAGATTTCTCAAGTGTTTTTTTTCTGTAGCCTTTTTTCCCCAAGCCAGAAGGAATGAGCACAAAAATGTAAGGGATGAAGTGCTTTTTAAAGAGTATACGGATGTTACATAATAGCCTTTTGTGATTGTGGCTATTGCTTCTGGCTTAAAAACTGGGGAAAGCAAATTGGCTCTGTGTGAATCTGGAAGGCAAATTAGGAAATGAAATGTTGCACTTTGGGGCCAGGATGTTCCTGGACTTAAGGAAGCAGAGTCTCTATAGATTTTTACTATTCTGAAATTCTGTGTAAACCTGACTTATTCCCAAATCAATCTATCAGTAGGATGTGAATAAAATATATGTGTTCAAGACCATAGCAGTTTAGTAATAATTTTTAAAACAAGACATAGCCCACAGTTCTAGCCTGGCTTCAGCCAGCTCCAATGTGTGCTTTTTGCATATATGTGTTCTGAAAACAGTGAGATTGGCCAGCAGTGTCCTGGGCTGCACTGTCATAAAAGGAGACAGTTCAGTTCAGCAACTACGTATTTCAGTAATCCATGCATGTCTATTTTTTTAAAAACCTATGTTAGGCTTCTGTTTTGCAGCTACAAGTGTTTGGGGATTTTTCTTCTCTCCAATTCATGTGATACTCTTTTTTTTTTTATAGGACACAGCATTGTTGGTTTTGCCATGTACTATTTTACATATGACCCGTGGATTGGCAAGCTGTTGTATCTTGAGGACTTCTTCGTAATGAGTGATTATAGAGGTATGTCTGCGTTCAGAGGAATGAGTCTAAAGAAAAACAGAAACGAAATCAAGTCAACTCCAGTTTATAGTGACCCTTCACTAGGTTTCTGAGGCCATAAATCTTAATAGGAGTAGACTGCCTCAGAGCCCTTGATGGGTTTGAACTGCAAACCTTTTGTTTAGCAGCCCAACCAATACTTCACCTACTGTATGCCACCAGGGCTTCCTTTTAAAAGGAAATACAGGGCTTTAAATCCTTAAATTGATTTTTAAATTATACTTCTCTTTCAGGGTTTGGCATCGGGTCAGAAATTCTGAAGAATCTAAGTCAGGTGTGTCTTCACTTTAGATAACTTAGATTACAAATTCATGTAAGAATTACTGGATTATTTTAATGACTGGATCAAAATTGGGTCTTAGAAAATAGGTGAAATGTCACTGAGTTTTGTTTTACTCCTTCTTATAAAGGTTGCTATGAAATGTCGCTGCAGCAGCATGCACTTCTTGGTGGCAGAGTGGAATGAACCATCTATCAACTTCTACAAAAGAAGAGGTGCTTCTGATCTGTCCAGTGAAGAAGGATGGAGGCTCTTCAAGATCGACAAGGAGTACTTGCTAAAAATGGCAGCAGAGAAGTGAGGAGTCCTAGTGTAGGCAATGACAAGTTCCATTCTATTTCGAATAAATACCCAGCTTCTCTTGCTTTCTGTCCTGTCTGTAGTGGAATAATAGAGTGAGCTCCCATTCCAAAGCTTTATTACCAGTGGCGTTGTTGCATGTTTGAAAGGCAGTCTGTTGAAAATGGCAATTTCATGTGCAGTTTGGAGTCAAGACTTCTCCTTGAACATCTTTTGAGAAACAAGGTGGTGTGATCTTTATATATGAAAACAAACAAAAAATAACTTCATTCTTGTGAGTCATTTAAATGTGTACAATGTACACACTGGTACTTAGAGTTTCTGTTTTGATTCTTTTTTAATAAACTTCCCTGTGATTTAATTGTTTGGTGTAAGAATTTTTACTAATCATTTTCTCTCACACATTTGTTTTGCTACTAAAAGGGAAAAAGCCAACAAACCTAACTTGATAATTTCACAATGGTTTAAAAGCCATTTTCAACCTCATTCAAAGTTTTGATATTCATTGGTTATGCTTTGCTAGTATTATCAAGGTCTAGAAAGAATCCAGTTGAATTCCGAGGTTTTACATGTGCCAGCATGTAAAATAAGACTTTACATTGATGACACTGTACACGTATTCAGATAAGGCTCTTCAAGAGCTGAAAAAGATAATTATTTCACTGATTAAAAACAGACTAATGAATAAACCCATTGTTTTACAAGTAAAAAGTGGTAGAGGTGGGATTATGAAACACACACCCCCCAAAAAAAAATCAGAAAAAGTCTACATCTTTACCATCAAAACCCCATCTCATACAAAATACTGTTTGAGGGGAGAGTAGACTACTTAGCTAATTTCAGCAGGAGCAAAAAAAAAAAAAAGGCACATTTTTACAGGAAGATTGGAAGCAGAAGGGATTTGCTAAGCTTGATCCGAGTGAACACAGGCACCAGTCAAAGAAATTAGTATCCTATTTGGAGGGTAGGTTTGCAGAACTGGACACAATGGGCTTCTGTATAGAGAAACAATTGGAGTGCTCGAAAACCACTAAAAGGAAAGAAGCAAATACTTTACTCAAGGATTAAAAAAAAATAAAATGGAGAAGCCTGAGAGAAGCCTCTATGCAAATTCTCTTATTTCTAATTATTTTCATCTAAAATCTTAAAAATTTGTTAATTCCCCAATAATGAAAAGAACAGTTTATAAGAACCACTGAGACTGTTTCCCAAAGGAAGTCGGATACTTGAAAAATAAGAAAACGAGTTGTTTAGGTGGCACTGTGTCAAGTACAACAGTGATCCTATGAACAACAGATCTGAACCTTGTCCTGCCCTATGCCATCCTGACAATCTGACACACTTAAGCCCATTGCTGCAGTCCAAGGTTGTGTCAACTTGAAACAAGGTGGTCCTCTATTTAATATAAGCTTACAGTCAATTCTCAAGGAAATGCTGGAAAGAGAAAGAGAGAAACACTGGTAAAAATACAAGGGTTACAAGACACAGTCCCTGAGTGGTGCAAATGTTTAATACACTCAGTATCCGAATCTACCCAAAGATGTGTTGAGGAAAAAAGCCTGGCATGGGTAAAGGAGCTGTGTTCCCAACCCAGAAGTGGTCAATTCAAATCCACCAGCAACTCTCAGAGGAAAAGGTGGACAATTTCTTGCTGAGCAATTTGCAACCTCTGAAATCCTATCTGAGAGTCAGTTATGAGTTGGTTCTGACTTGACGGCAATGTCGTCAAAGCTACTTACAATTGAGCCCTGTATTCTCACCTTCTTCTTAGAGCTTACTCATAAAGTCTCACTGTTATCAAGATGAAAGGGTTTATGAACGTCTTGTATTCACTTTAGAGGAGTCTTTTAAGTTTAAAATTTAGAAGCTGAATATCCAGTCCACTGAAATTTCCAAAAGAAAAGCACCTCTTTAAAAACTACTTGACTATAAAGCAAATCTGTAAAGTCTGAAATCCCAGGCACATGAGAAAGTGCGTTCCAAGGACAATACATGAAAGAATATCGAAAACAATAATAAATTTGGAAAAGAAAAAAAAGAAAAGGGGGATAATCTACACCTGGGTGATTTATAGCCCCCTAAAAAACTCATGGAGGGTTGGCTATAAGTCGCTTCCAACTTTACGGCAATGAGTTTTCTCCTGTAGAGCTATTGGTGGGTTCAAACCTTTCAGCTAAACAGTTAATTACTAGGTCACTGGGACCCCATTGTCAATTATTACTAAATATATTTTTAGGATTTCTCTCTCCCTGTGGGGGGGGGTGTGTCCCTGCAAGCGCGTGCGTGCACGCGTGCACGTGTTTATGTACACATTTTAATGTTAATAGAATGTTACTTGCTACATTTATTGTGTTCCTAAACTCTTCAAAAAATAAAAACATTTCCACTGAAATGTTACATAAAGCTGGAAGCAACTGTTAGCAACTAGTTAGATTTACTCCCAAGTATTTAACCTTGTGATTAACTATTGTGATGAGTATTGCTTTTCTTAGCTCCAGTTCTGTATTCTCTTTGTCACT